GCCTAATAGAAAGATAGGCAGAAAAAGTGAAGAATGGTTGCATGCAGGGTTGCTTCCACTCACTTGCTATAGATGAGTGATTTTCAGAGTTTTGAATTCGTTAGATGTTGTAATGGAGATTTGTGTTAATGGATGCGGGAGGGGATTGAAGGGCGGGTGTTTGACGCATAGAGCTTATCAATTTCGCTTTCAGAGTGTCACAGTCAGCGGTTTTATGATTCGTGAGCGCTCGCGATTCGTAGAATCGTTGATTGTGACTGCAAGTGGATTTGGCGGGTTTTGTGTGTCGGACGCTTGCTTTTTGGCCTCTTCTTGTGTCTAACATGTGCAGAGTATCATTATAGCGTCTAATGGTTTTGAGATTCCTGGTTGCGTGAAATACATTTGTGAGAATATCTTTTTGAGATTTAGTAGTCACGTTTTGTTTGTAGTTTATATTTTATTTCTTTCATGTAATTATGGTAAATAATAGTTATTCAATAATAGTTAGTTCATCCATATATTCGTACCTTGACGCGAAGCGCTGTGGATTATGAGATGCCCGATGACCCTGGAGGGATCGATTTTGCTTACTGAGCAGAAAATCATGGATTTAACCCCAAGCTCTTCCACAGCACAATAAGTCGCCACCATCATTTGTATATTTGATATTGAACATTAACCTCGGAAACTATTTGCATATTAAGCGAAAACGCAGTCCTGTATTGTCGCGAAGCGTTTTAGTTCTGAGATGCTCGATGACCCTGGAGGGATCGTTTTTGCTTACTGAGCAGAAAATCATGGGTTTAATCCCAAGCTCTCCGTCATGACTCTTAAAATCCATGATCACTAAACAAAATGAATATGTTCTTTCGATAGCCGGCTATCGAGAGATTAAATAAACAACAAATAAACAATACATCCTTTTGGTTGCATCGCCAACTTGAGGTGAATCCTAACCGAATACCCTACCCAACCCTTCAACTCCGTAGCACTTATGAGGGTGTCGCTAAGTCGGTGGGCTCTCGTTAAGTAAGTACTACATCAACATTTCCTGCCCTATCCCTAGTTATGGTAAAGATGGGCTTGGCCGGGAATAGCGACAGTCATGCTTCTGTTACTCTTGTTTAGATTGGAACCATTGTTTACTCCCCAGCATTATTCCTGAAAGTAGTCTAACTGAGGATTTCAGAAGAGACGTGAGTGTCGCTAGTATCCAATCTGCGAAGTATACCATAACAACGCTAACGCTAACGCTAACGCTAACGCTAACGCTAACGCTAACGCTATCGCGACCTCACTGATCAGCTGAAACGGCCAACCAGCCATCAACATCTCAACATGATCTAGCAAATGTGCGGAACATCACTCGTGTCAACTTAAAAGCCCCATTATTACAGGAGATAGAATCAGGTTCATTTCCTACTCAAACTACACTTTGTTGGATTTCATGCTTCGCATAGGGGCTATTCATAAACCACGTAGGAACCTTAGAAATTTATATGAACGGTCTGAACTCTCTCCTTCCTATGGTAACACAGATTATCCACAACTTTTCGAGCTCATGTCTCATGTTGGTCAATTAAGCATTAAATAGTCAGTACCGTAAAATGGGGCAATATTCGATAATGTGGGTAACTTTGATAGTAGAATATAATGATGATATTTACTCTCTGCACTGTGTGCAAATTGGAATCATTGGTTCTATTTTGTAGTTTAGGGTATTACCTTTGATATCGTTTAGAGTTTCTTTCTCAAAAGATCGCTGCAGTGCATTGTAGTTGTCACTCCAGATGTAGTAGAATTTATGGAAAACATGTAACTTCGTAATGTGGATATAAACGCAATGATAATAATACATCGCTTCGACTTCCATAATAAGGCTCCTGATCCGATGCTATCCGCAACAATGTTGTTTAAATTATTTTTTTAATAACTGGACACTGCGACTTTTACGGTCGACTGGATGGGGTCCGTCCAAGAAGGGGCATCTGTCTGATTGCGACGATTGGGTAGAGAAGCTCGATGCGACTCTCCGGTGGCAGCAGGCAAGATTCCGAACCGGAAGATCTAGCGTGGATCACATTATCACGCGCTGTATCGTCATGAAGTAGGCCAACCAATTCTAAAAATCCCTGTATTTGGTATTCATTGATTACATACGAAAGAGTTTTCGATCGACCCCGGGAGTCGCGGACAAATTCGTAAACCTCATTCAAGCGCAGTACGTGGCTGTCACGTACAAGGTTCTGCATAATGGAGACTTGTCCCACCCTATCCGGGTAACAACTGATTAACTGATATAACTACTACCATCGCTACTGTTCCTCATCGCATTTGACAGGATCATGGTAGGTGTAATCGGGGATGGGCTAGAAACTCCGAGTGGTGCAAAACATACTTGTGCTGCTCTCAAATACGGGAGTGGGTCTTTTATCTTTGGTAGGAGAAAGAGACAAAGGAGAGAGAGATTTCACACCTGAGTGAGAGCAGTAGGACTGTACGGGCGCATAGGACAATCGAGTTGTGCACTATGTGTTGACGGTAGTAGCACTTTCCAATTGGAGGAGACGTGGTTTAGAGATTTATAGGAATGACTACGGACGATAGGCTGGGCCCATAATATAGACACTCATGTAAAATATGTTACGGTAGCTTTATGGAGTTCAATAGTGTGACAAAATGCCAAATTATGTGTTTCTACTAATGTGGGATTTTTATAAGATCGATCTGTAATGCTCATTTAATTCTTGTTATGTAGCTAGTAGCGGTAAATAAAATAGTAGAGAACTTCAATCCATCTACCGAATGTCATTCGAAAGTTCGGAAGATTTAAAAGCTGTCAAACTGAAGTTTTGCATACAGAATAGTATCAACAATTAGATTAAAGGTTGTCAACAAAGTTTAATTTTAAATTAAAGGTTGTTTGACACAATGTTACCTATAATGACTAGGCTGTCTAAGGTCCCACTGTTTACTTCACCTGCACACATATTCGGGCAGATTAATCAACTTTCATGTAACTCATTTTTTATCACAAAAAGTTAGTGTGGGTGCCAACATTCCTAGATCGATTGGTTTTAAAATATTCTAATGAGGAAAATTTTATTTATTTGGTTTTAACATATATTAAAAGACTGCTCCCTATGTCAACATAAAAAAAATATATATTTTCCACCCTAAGGAATGTTAGCACCTAAACTATCTTTAAGAAACCCCCGAGGTACATGAAAGCTGGTTAATCCGTAATTTTGTACACTGCGTGCTGCGCTTAAATATTAAACCAGTTTACCGTTTTAGTGAAACTTGGTTTAAAGGCAGGAGAAGAAATAGGTCCTTAGCCATTAAAAAAGTAATACAGGACAATTTTGCTAGTTTTTCTTAATCAACATTATACAAATCAAATGGGTCGTATGAAAGAAAGAGTTTAAGTTCTCCATAAGAAAAGCACGAGAGAGTTAACTCTCATTATTCATACGGCTCAAAGTCTGAATTACGTGTCTTGCTTTTACTACCTTTCGCCATTACAACTGATTGCCTTTCAGCATGAAAAGAACACCAGAAGGAACCTACAGTATCTGGCTGTACTTAATACAGCACTACAGCTATAGAAAAAGCACTCTCAGAAAAAGTAAAAGATGGACAGAGAGAGAGAGAGAGATAAACATACTTTACACCGTTGGAGCGGCCGTTCTCCAGCACGAAAATAATTAAAATTTAATGTACTGCACGTTTCAAAATGCTCTTTCACGTCTCTTTCGAAATGAATGTGCAGTCTCCTAACACCGTGTGTTTCTTTCGCAGAAATTTGAGTAGCACCCGATCCCTGGATGCAATACCAAAAATGTGACCTGCCTTGGCAGCCTATCTCGTGCTATCACGATGGAGCATCTCAACCACTTCGATTTGGCTGATGATGTTACTCTGATAAGCAGAGTAAGCTCAACGACCTAGCCTAACGCTCCTCGGCTGCGGTTTCACCATCAACGTCAACAAGACTTTTACTCCTTTAAAGTCTTTCTTTGCTTATCTGGAACTGACCCGTAACTTTTATCGTGACTAGGAAAAACCAAATACGTAAATTATAGAAATATCTTATTAGATTGATTCTTCAGTTTTCTAAGAGCTTGGACATAATCGCTTAAATTCTTATGATTTTTTATTTATACAAATCGTCAATATTGTTGAGAAGTTATTTTTGGCAAAATCCCTCAAGTTTAAGGCAAGCAAGATTGATAGAATCCACAAATGGCCGCTTTCATATTTTACAAGGCAAATCAGGCACGACAACGGTCATTTGCGGATTCTATCAACCTTAACCGAACAAAAAACAAATGCTGCGTGATTGTGAATCTGAATGTCTTGGGTCATATATTGAATCATAAATCGAATAATTTTTCCACAAGCCGTCTTTTTAGCATGTTGAAAATGAAACATTCAAATGTGCTCAGAAATTAGAACATGCCAGAGAACACGTCAGAACAAACGAAACGAAGAGATAAACACAAGCTGAACATTGCATTAGATCCTAAGTAACATTGATAAATTATCTTCATCGACTTTCTCTTTCGTTAAGAACTTGAGCACCTAATCTTTTTTTTTGTTGTGTTTTTCGTATTAGATGCTAGATAAAAAATCGATCTGTGTATGTATTTACATGACCGTTTGGATACAAAGAGAATCTGTCCATGTTACTTAGGACCTAATGCAATGTTTAGCTTGATATCATAACTGAAAGCTTAACGCAGCTAACTTCTGCACTCCCTGTTGCTAGGGAGAGTCATTGCAGGCGTATGCAGAGACTTACGTTTCACCATCATAGCCAAGAATATTTTTATTAATTAGTTATACTCGTTTGCCTTTTCTCACACATCGCATCTGTATATATACATACATACATACGAAGTGCGAGGGAATCAGCCCCTGAACTGGACCAGTTGGTAACTGACTGCTGTACCTTCCATCCTAAGGAATTATCATACGGCGTTTTGGTGGGTGCGGTAGCCCGCTTTCTTACTTACGTGTAGGTGACGTTGAGCGTGTTGAACACCGTCGACAGGTCCGTATCGATCTCAACCTGGGATGAGGTGTACCGGCTGGTCAGTTGCAACGGTTGCCGTTTTTGTGCATACATGATCAGCTCCAACCCAGCCGAGCTACTCCGCAGTGGTACGATGGCATTGGAACTGCTAGCAATCATGTCGGTCGATTGCATGGACAGCTCCGGATTACGCTTGGAGATAATGTTCGAAATGACCGTATCGACGATGGCCGGCTTGACATCTTCGACCACCACTTGCATCCCCAAATCGTCATCATCCTCGTCCTCTTGACCTTCGGTTTCGAAGTGAGAAACCATAAATTGACCGGAGTGGATGGTTTCCCCGGTTGTCTTACGCTCTTCACCACCACTGGCGCCACTAACGCCGGCGCCAATACCGCTCCGTTCCATTCTGGTCGAACGGCCCGGAGTCATAACTGGGAACGCAAAACGGGCGTCCACTTCTCCGCGCGGGTTCAACAACAATAGCAATAACAGTAACAATAACACAACTTGTTGCACTTTGCGCAAAAAAAATCACTCACCAATTGCTTATAAATAACAAATCACACATATGCTAGCGCGCCGCTGCCGTTGCAGTGCTTCAACGCGATATTTGTAAACACGATGGACACACAATCACACACCACTGTTGAACACGCGTCCACCGAGTAGAAGTGAACAGCGAACTTTACGGGAGAAGAAGAGCACAACACTCCGCCGCGCACTGCCAACTGACTGACTGGTGGTGGTCGTGGTCGTTTGTTGCTCGCTGGCGAACACTATTAAACGCTATTATCACACATCCATATCACTGGGGAAGACTGTTGGGAGAGAGATGAATGAAAAAAGCGATATTAGAAGGTGGAACAAACACAATAATTCTCTTTATTACATACACAGTCTGTCGGTTGATCTATATAGGATTCAGATCGAATCGAACGGATATGATGATGAGTAGATCTCTGCCATATGTGGTCACAAAGTTTTGATAGTTAGAAGTTTAACCCTTTCCCAGAGATTTTTCGTTGTTTTGAAAAACACTCAAAAAAAAAATCGTCCGTAGATTCTATTTGAATTTTGAACTTTTTCTAAGAAATCACTAAAGCATCAATTTTTTTTAATTCGCTTGAATTATCCGTAGAATTTCCATTCAATTCAGCTCAGTCAGTCGTTTACCATTTGAAAAGGGTCTGTCAGTTTTTGGGAACAAAACATGCCTTTTTTGCACGAACTTGAGCTTGTCTATGGGAACCAATAAAAACAACATGTAGGAAACATTCTCCCGTCCAGAATTGTCATAAAATTTTGCTCAGATTTGTATTAGGAGTCGTCCTCTAAATTCTTCATAAAATTCACTTGGGGTTCTACTTAAAATCCTCGCAGAATTTCTTTGAAATTGTATTCTCAAAATTCGATTCCCTTAATCTTTTCCACGAATCCTGTAATCCTCTTCACAATCGTCATGTTCCACAGAGCTGCTTAACAAAATTACTCTGACTAAACTCACACAAATGACTTGAAGTTTATATTTTATTTTTATTTTTTTATTGGGTATCAAGCTGGAGCTGCGTGACACCTTAGTTTTCAAGACTTGACCCATTTGAATAAATTTTGCTTCTATCTTTGACAATACAGCAGAAGGACTAGCCTATGTTGACAGCTTGAACACTGGATTCCGTGTGTATTGTTTCAAGATAGTTATGGAAAAATGCTGTGACGTGCGCGCGTCGATACATCCGCGTAGTAAAACGATTGAATAGCTAAATCCGTTTCGAACGAAATATCTAAATTATGAAAGTAACGAAAACCACGGGAATTCCGAAAGCCGTGCGTGACAACTGAAGCGAGAAAAAGGCATATTATCATTTAAAGAGTGCTACCAAAATAAATACGATAGCCTATGTTGGCAAGTTGATTAATTATGGTTTCCTCCCTAGATATTCTACTTATTTACTACTGAGCTTTGTATCAAATTAGTTAATTTAAAGAACGTATCAATCATTTCAAGATTTTGCAACCGTACCGAACAAGTTCTATACTATAAGCTCAAAAGCGTTTGACAAGCTCTATCGAATTGCGTATCACTTCTGCGTAAGCTCCGTAGACGTAGGCGCGTTGATTCCGACAGCTGCCAAAGGTTTAACCTGCACCAAAACCGCTAAAGAAACGACCTCGAGTAAGTAAACCCGTTTATAGCTAAACATCTAAATTACATAAGATATGAAAATCGCGCAAATTGCGAACGCCGCGCGAGACAACCCAAGCGAGAAAAAGGCTAATTATCACTTAAAGAGTGCCACGAAAATAAATGTGATAGCCTATGTTGCCAAGTTGATTAATTTTGGTTTCCTCCCAAGATATTCTACTTATTTACTACTGAGCTTTGTATCAAATTAGTTATTACGTAAGGTAAGTATCAATCATTTCAAAATTTCACGATCGCACCGAACAAATTCTAAACTACATAAGCTTATAAAAAACTTTTGGTAAGCTCTACCGCATTGCGAACCACTTCTGCGTAAGCTCCGTAGACGTAGGCGCGTTGATTCCGACAGCCGCGAAAAGTTAAACATGCATCAATACCACATAAGCAGGGTGCCTTCCATTCATTTTGGATAAAAAAAATGTTTTATTAAATTATGGAATGATAAGATATTATAGTAGTATTTTGTTTGTGTAAGCAACAAAGAAAAGACTGTGAAGTTTGTGTTTGACACATAATACCTGCCAATTTTGCTACACGTGTGTCGCAATAAGCGATTTTGTCATTTATCTCACCCACTCTTCGCTCTTCACTCTTCGCGAAGCGGCGATTGGAAAATCGTTCATTGTCACTCTGCCGAAGCTAAATTTGCAGGTTTTATGCGTCAAACACAAACATTACAATCTTTTCTTGTTACTTACACATACAAAATATCATTATAATATCTTATTATTCTATAATTTAATAAAACATTTTTTTAGGCAAAATGAATGGAAGGCCCCTGCACATAAGGAAAGATCGATTTTACGTAGGGTTTAGTTCATAGATTAACATTGACTGCTGTTTACAAATGTAAGTACTTGAACACTAAGAAATAAGTTAACTCAAATGCTTTAACCGCATTGTAAGAGATTTCGCGTATTGAGAGAATAATATAGTAATCGAGTACAACAAACTCAGGGGAATACAACACTTCCAAAAGTTTAAAAGTTATTAATTGTCACATACCTCTACTTTTACTTATTTCCTAAACTATTCCTCTCCTTGTTAATCTGCTTAATGCTATTGGTCTGCTTGCGTTTTCTTATTGAAGTTCAAGCCTAAATAAGATGATTTATTCTACAACTTTAAAGGCTAGTTGCCTCCCTAAGCGGACCCCCGCATCCTAATTCTTTTGTAAATCTACTTAATGTCATTAGACTTTCTGAAGTTTCTTATTTAAGTTCATTTGATATCATAATCATCATGATCTCATTAGTCTAATTTAATAAATTATTAAATACTCTATGCTTCATTTTGAAGGTAGTTTCCTAGCTGATTTTTAAATTATATAGGGTATATGCTCCAACTATGCTCACACGCTTCCACTATGTCGCACCACAAAAATACATATGGGTATGTCACAATAGAAGCACGCCACAGTGGAAATCCCGAGTCATAGTTCAAACACTTATCCCAAATCAAAATGAAGCACATATAAGATTAGTGACAATACCATGTACAAAAATGGTGTTTAACATTGTTCCCTGAGTAATACCTCAGTGAAAACAACAATTAAAGCTTGTCACGCAAGTAGAAGGAGCACTGTTGGGCACTTTCTGAAATATTTCAATAGTATAATTCCCTTGCAAACCCAAATAAATCTATCTGCTGTCGTACTACAACGCGGCTCTCATACAAAGGAGTAACAAGTGTGATACTATCACTGCTGGACTAGATCTTTGGTTTTCTCATGCAGTGGTTCATCAGAGAGGGAAAGCTTAGTAATCCCCATTGCCTGCCCATGACGCCATTCTATCGCGGCATGAGCAGCAACGCCGGCCATAAACCTACCGTCTCCAACACTCCACTATAAAGCATGAAATTAAGCCCGCCTGCCAGCAACAAGGTGCAAACACTAGCCAAGGGGAGGGATTTGATGTGAGATTTTAAAGGTGAATACATAACTCTCAACATTGGTGGTAAAAAGTTTTTTTTTTCCCTATGATGGGAACGTAATACCACCGCAAACATTACTTTGATCTATTGTGGTGTATCCTCTTTTTATTTATGCCATAACGTAGTAATAAGACACTATTGTTTGAGTAACTACCACTACTGTTGTAAGCAATTATCCCAGCCAGGTAATACATTCCTTATGAAATTTATTACCTGATTGGGAGCAGCAGGCCAGATTTCCCAAGATCTCATCGGACCCTTATCAAGATATCTGCATCGTTTATAAAATAGTGCAACACTGTCACACAACAAATGTTCAGAGCTTTCACTCTTTAAGTTACAAAAGCGACATTTATCTTCATGAAGTTTATCAATGATTTTCAGGTGATATTTACAAGGACAGTGTCCTGTTATCAATCCAGCGTATGTACTCAAATCTTTTTTAGAAAGATTAAGTAATTTTTGTGTATGCAAAGCGTTCGGCTTTATAAAACGTTTAGATTGCCGAGAATTTAAGGTACTGGTTCAGGTACTGTACCTTTGTTTTCTCCCAGTTTTTTAGCTCCATTTTTAAAGCACAAAAAGAAAGTCCAAAAAATGATTCAGGACCAATGAATTTCGTGGATGACCCTATTTTTGCCAATTGATCAGCTTTTTCGTTTCCTTCGATTCCACAATGACCAGGTACCCAATAAAGGTTAACCGTATTTCGACAGGACAGTTGCTGTAATAGTTTAGTACATTCCCACACCAGTTTTGACGAGTAAGTTTTTGATTTCAAAGCATTCAGCGCCGCTTGACTATCTGAACAAATGCAAATATTCGCATTTTTATAGTTCCTTTTTATGCGAATCGTTGCACATTCTTAGATAGCATATATTTCGGCTTGAAATACTGTCGGCCATTTTCCCATGGATACCGAGAAGTTAACCCCAGGGCCGGTAATACCAGCCCCGACCATATTATCTTGTTTCGATCCATCTGTATAGAAAATTACTGATCCAGGACTAATATTCAGTCTTCCTGCATCCCAGTTAACGCGAGTCAGATCGGGAACTTGGAAATTATGGTTGAAATAATGTCACTTTACCATACAATCTTCGTTCATCAATATTAATGGGCTTATCTGAAACTCTTTTAGAATGCTCAAATGTCCAATAAGATCTCCATCGAAGAAATTCATGGAGCCTTAGAGCACTTTTCACTGCATCCAGTTCAATAAATTGATGAAGAGGAAGGATATTGAGTAAAGCATCTAAGGCTGTAGAAAGAGTACTACGCATTGCACCAGTTACGGAAATAGTAGCAAGCCTTTGTAGCTTGTTTATTTTGACTTGTGCCGTTTGTTGCTTAGTTTTCGGCCACCATATAAGTGAGGTGTAGGTAATCCTGGGTTTAACTATGGCCGAGTATATCCAGCGTATCATATTTGGCTTCAGACCCCATTTTTTCGAAACGTTCTTCTGCAGGTCCAAAAAGCATTTGTTGCTTTGCCTGTTTGTTGATCAATATGTTTGTTCCAGCAGAGTTTACTATCTAAAGTTACTCCTAAAAACTTTACTTCTAAAGATAGTGACAGCTTTACGTCTCCTAGTTTAAAATCAGTTAAAGAGATTTTACGTCTTTTAGTAAAAGGTACAATAGTTGTTTTTGTAGGATTGACATTCAATCCCTCATCTT